TCCCGCGCCCCACAGCTCTCTGCCCGCCCCCCCCCAGCCCCTTCCCGGCAGCGGCCCTGCCTTCCCGGGGCCTGTTTCCTGAGCTCAGCTGCCAGGGTCCCCAAAAAAAGACTCTCGGCACCTAAAACGGCTCCTCCGCCCCCGTGGCTTCCGGGCTCCCTCCAGCCCTGCTCCCGCGCCTGTGCCCTTGGGCTCGGCTCCGGGGGGCGTGGTGGGTGGGGGTGCCTGGAGCCCCACCCCAGGCGGGAAGCACCTCCTGGGGTCCCACAGGACCGCCCTTGGGGGACCCCCCAGAGGTGATCTGGGGGCGGGGGAGGGGCGGGGGTGATGCCTTGTCCACAGCCTCCTCACCTGCCCCCGGGGGCTGGGGGTCCCCTGCGTCCCAGCCACGCGCTTTCCCTGCCGGTGGGGGGCTGTGGGGGAGGGGCATCCGGACACAGCCCGCCCCCCCCCGTCCCCCCCACCCCCACCCCGGCAGAGGCGTCTGCTGACTGGCGTTTAGCTGAAGTGGCCCAGCGGGTGCCATGTCTTGGTCACACGTGTGCTCTGAGCCGCCCGGGCTGATTAAAAAAATAAAACCCTAATTACCAGCGAGGGGGGGGGGGCTCCTCCCCCCTCCCCCCTTCTCCTTCCCCATCCACGGTCAGAACTGACCTCCCGGGGGCAGCCAACAGCGCCCCTTCTCCCATGCCCCTGTGTGTCCTGTGACCCCTTGCCTGAGTGTCCCGTGACCCCTCACGCCTGCATGTCCCGTGACCCCTCACCCCTGCGTGTCCCGTGGCCCTGCACCCCTGCATGTCTAACCTCGTGTCTTGCTGGCAGGAGTGGGAGTGATCAGGGTGTCCTTGATGGGGCCAGCGTGGAAGGCACTGACAGGCTCAGTACTGTTCATGGCCTGGATGGGACACGCCGTGGCCTGGGTGTGGGGACGCCGTGTCCCGGCCGCCCACCCTCTCCCGGCTGTGCAGAGTTCCCGCCCACAGCCCTGGCGCAGCACGTGCTTGGGCTGGGGACTCCCCAGCAGTGCTCAGCCGGGCCCACTCCTGGCAGCCCTCGGTGCTTGGGGCCTTCCCGCTCTGCTCTCGTGGCCCAGAGCTCCTGGGGGGGAGGTGCCCGCCGGGTCTTGGGCCCGGCCTCAGTGGGGACCCCTCCCTCCTGAGGTCCTGAGGGTGGGGCCCGGTACCCCAGGCCCTCACGATGACGGGGTGGTCGAATCCTGGGGAGGTGCCGGTGGACCGCGAGACGTGGGGGTCTCCTGTGGGGGGCAGGCGGAGGGAGCTGGGGGTCCCAGGAAAAGCGCCACCCAGCCGACGGGCTCAGAGGGATTGGGACCTGAGGGGACAGGGCTCGTGTCTGGACACCACAGCCCCCCTCGGCCATCAGAGGCTGCCGGCGTCTGTGGGGGGTCGGGAGGCGGACATCAGAGCGGCTCTGGGGCTGTTTTCTTCCCTGGGCTTTGCTCGGCCATGCTCAGAAAGACTCGGGGGTTATCTCAGCTCCGACGGGGCCAGGGCCACCCCGGAACCCTGCCGTGGGGGGTGTATGCCATGCCAGGTCACAGACCCTCTGTCCAGCCACCGGACTTTATTCCTGGGGGGCGTCCAAACTCTGCAGTGTTGGGGGGCCGTGGGGGGCCAGGCACCAGCCCAGGGTCTTTCACACCCCCCTACCCTCAGTCACGGCCCTGGGTCCAAACCACTGGGCTTGGTCATGGGGAAGGCTGGGCCTGAGGGACTCGGGTGACAGTCATCCCCGAGATTTGGGGGTTCTGCCTCTTCCTTGTATCATTCGGAGGCTGCAGGGAATTTTCTGGGTATCGGCTGGTTTTCTGGGTAGGAGGCGGAGCCAGAAGTGCAGGGAGATGTGAGCACTCCATCTGACCCATGCAAAGGTCCTGGGGCAGAGTCGCAGTGTGGAGGCAGCGAGGATGGGGGTAACCCAGGGAAGTGCAGAGCCTTGGACAGGAGGCTGGGGTGCAGGTGGGTTGGGGCATCTCGGGGCCTCCACTGTGCGTCCAGCCTGGCTTCATGGGTCCCGGGCTACCCTGTAGGTCTACTCTGTCCCCTCCAAGGGAGAGACTTGGCCTCCGACTAAGCCTGCGTCCTGAGGAGGCCGCCCAGGCGCTCACTGCAGGGGTCCCCGCGTGCTTCCCAGCAGGGGATGTACCCGCCTCCCACCCTCTCCCCTCCCGCCCTCCCTCCCCACCAGGACTCCCGGGGCTGGCACAAAGCCGCCCCTGCACCGACACTGGTCACCACGGTGGGAGCCTCAGGCAGCGTCTGAAACTCAAGGTCATGTCTCACTCGCCGTGGGTGGCAATAATGAAGCTGGAGGTGGAGGTGACGGTGGAGTGAGGCAGGTGGTGATGGTGCTGGTGAGGTGACGGCACTGGGCTTGGTGAAACTGGTGTTAGCTGCGTTCCCCAGGCTTCCGCCCTGGGGGGACCGGCTCTCCAGGAGGAAGGGTGACTATTCCTGGAGCCAGAGGGCAGGGCAGGGCTGTGCCACGCCCACAAAGTGGCAGTAACGGGGGACCTGCCGGAGGCCTCAGCGGTGGCGAAGGGGAACAGGTCACTTCACTTCAACGGCCTTGCTGGGTCACTTTAAGACCTGGTCAATCTGCCGTGGGTTGCCACTTTCTCCTCCTTTATTTTTATTTTATTGCTTTTTGGGTCACAGCTGGCTATGCTCAGGGGGTCCTCCTGGCTTTGCACTCAGGAATCACTCCCGGTGGTGCTCAGGGGACCCTATGGGATGCTGGGAATCGAACCCGGGTCGGCCGCGTGCAAGGCAAACACTCTATTCGCTGTGCTATCGCTCCAGCCCCTCTCTCCTCCTTTATTTCAAACCGTGTTGCTCGGGGCTGGAGAGAATACAGTGGGCAGGGGGCTTGCCTTGCATGTGGCTGATGGGGGTTCAATCCCCAGCACCTGAGAGGGTTTCCCGAGCCCTGCCGGGAGTGGTCCCTGAGCACAGAGCCAGGAGTGAGCCCAGAGCACCACCCTAAAACCAAAGATCAATAGTAAGAACTGAAAGCTATTGCTGTGAGGTCTCAAGACCCGGGCTGAGGCCCCCACGCCCTGCAGCCTGCAGCCGGCAGCCGCACACTCGGGCAGGACCCCGTCTCCGTTCCATCTCGGGCCGCCTCAGTGCCCCGCGGTTCCCCAGACAACCACAGAGTGGCCACATGGGGCTCCGGCAGCAGAAGCAATTAAGAGAATAAAAACAATTAACAGCCAGTCCCCACGACCGGGTCCTGCGGTTTCATGAGCTGTTCTGCCCAACCCCAGAGAGGTTCACATCACACCCCTCCTGTGCCCTGCGCCGCCCCCAGACCTGGCCCATGCAGACCCCCACCCCCAAGCCTGGCCCACCGGCTCATTGCACACAGCATGGCCCCAGCTCTGCTCACCGCTCTCCTGACCCCTGCGGTCTCCCCCTAGTCCCTGTGTGGGGGACCCAGGGCTGCCCCCCACACGAGCTCCATAAACAATGACCCGGGACCGTGCCCTGTGGGGGTGAGGGGCACTTCCGGTCCAGGTGCAAACACGGGGAGCAGCCCCAGGGCAGCTCAGAGGCCCATGCACTCCGGCCCCCACGCTGCACCCACCTGGGGTTCACAGTGGGCACTGGGACTGCCCGGGTCCTGTGTGGGGTCTGGAAACAAGGACCACGCCCCCCTCCACTTGGGGGGGCTGGGGGAGGGAGGACTCAGATGCTCTAAGGCCGAGGGGCTGGGCGTGGGGGGGCTGGGGGCTGCAGGGCACCTGGTTGGACGTTCACGGGCATAGCCGTGCCCAGGCCTCGCGTGCGGAGCTCCCAGATCCAGAGCGGGGGACCGGGAGGCGTGGGGAGGGGGACCGGGAGGGGGCCGGGGCTGGACTGCCGAGGGGCCAGCGCACCGGAGCGAGTACAGGAGGCTGCTGGTCGTGGGCACCTGGAGAAGTGCAGGGGTGAGAAGTGGGGAGCCGGTCCCCGGGGACCTCCTGAGCGCCCCCCCCCCCCAAGTCAGCCAGGGCACATGCACGCCAGGACAGGGAACCCCCTTGCAGGGGGGCACAGTGCAATGCTTGCTCCGCGCACGCACCCTCAGCCATCGTCCCAGAACCCTCCAGAAGGTGGGATCCTCCCTCCACCCGCCTGGGGTCCCCGGAGAAGTGGGAAGGTGGCAGGATGGGGACACTTGCTCCTGCAGAAGCTCCCGGGGAGGGACCCTGGGGCTCCGCCGCACCTGCCATTGGTGGGAATTGGTCACATGGCTGCGTCTGGCGCAAAGACACCTGGGAAATGAGCAGTCAGTCCCGCCCCCAGCCAGCTCCAGAGCCAATGGGAAGGCAGCAGGTGGCCACGTGACAGCTGCCGGGGGCGGGGCGGTCGTGGTTCATGCTGGAGCTGGTGCGTGTTTGGGGCTTTGGGGCAGCCCTGGCCATCGCATTGGGGGCCGGGGCATCCCTGGGTTGTCGAGCTCGTGGGGAGCTGCTTTTGCGTGTTTGTGGCCCCGGGCTGGCCCTTAGACCATCGTGAAGTCCGGTCATTGCCCATAAACCAGGATGAGGGTCTGTGGACAGTCAGCAAGTCTGTCCCTGCTGTCCCAGGAGCACAGTCTCCGCCAGCGTCCGTGTGTCGGGGGGCGCTGCCCTGGCGTGGCCGGCAGGACACACCCTCCTCGCACTGAAAACGCAGTCTCTGCCCTGTCCTCCTGAATTCTGTCCCTTTGGGGCCACACCCGGCAGTGCTCGGCGCTCTCTCCTGACGCTGTGCTGCCGGATCACTCCTGTGTGGTGCCCAGGATGGGAGTGGCGATGGCCACGTGGAGGCGAGCCCCTCCACTTGCGTCCTCCAAGTGCAGACCGGAGCTGTCCACGCCCGACTCCCCCTCCCCCGTGGGTGCACAGGTGGCATTTGCGGTCAGACCCCTCCCTGACCTAGCAGACCTCCGTGCGGGCAGGCAGTTGGGATTTCTGTTTGGGGGTCTCTCTGAACTCTCTCTCCCTCCTGCAGAGCCCCGCGCGGACCGCAGCAAGAAACTCTTCCGGCACTACACTGTGGGCTCCTATGACAGCTTCGATGCAGCCAGGTGAGACGCGCCCTCTGCGGCAGCCCAAGCATGGGACACTAGGATCCCCCAGATGGGAGACCCCCACCCCGGGGCACAGACACAGTGGCTCGGGAGGGGGAGGGCTGGGTGTCGGGAAGGGGAAGTCGTGGCCTTATTGGACATGGCTATTGTCGCCCAGGGGCACCAGGTCCCTTCCAGCTCACTGCATCTGTGATACCAGCTGCCAGCCTCCTCCATCGGGCGGGTTCCGGCAGACCCTCGGGTTTGGGGTCCGTGGGATTCACGGGGCTCAGTGAATGGAGCGTGTGAGAGGGCAGGGACGCAGCCATGGGCTGTGCGAAGTGCCGTGGTGCTCGGTCCCCACCGTCCCCTGCGGGCCCCGGGATAAGGGTCTGTGTCGCACTGCTCGAACCTGCTCCCCGCTTCTTGCTCGCTTTTGCTAGTGAAAACTGGCGCACAGGGGCCGGCGCGACAGTGCAGTCGGTGAGCGCTTGCCTTGCACGTGGCCGACCTGAGTTCAGTCCCGGCACCCCGTATTGTTCCCCAAACACCGCCAGAAGTTCTGAGCACTGCTGAGTGTGTCCCCAGAACAGAAAGAAGAGTGGAAGAAAGAGATTGCACAGAGCCCCAAGCTATCTCTTTAAAGTGTGTAACTCCATGGCGCTGAGTGTCCTCAGACACCCCAGCGCCTCCTTGCTCTGTCTCCTCCAGAGTGTCCCACCTCCACAGAGGGAGACTCCCAGCCCCTGAGGGCCCCTCTGCCCAGCTGGGCTCACCTCAGTTCCTGGAAAGGGCTCTGCAGCCCGGGTGTGTGAGCCCCGTCCACACTACCCTGTCACTGCCGAGGCCCCTTTCTGGGCGCACCCACGTGGCCACCTGCCCTTTCTTCCTGCTCAGATGCTTTTGCACAGGGGCTGAGTTCCCCACCTCCCTGCAGCGCAGTGTCCAGCTTGGGTGCGAGGCTGGTTCCAGGCTGCCCTCCCCTCCCCCTCCCTGTCTCCCAAACATTCTCCCCAGACACCCCGTCCCTCGTCTTTGGGAACTGCAGGGCTCTGGGACAAGGGGGTCGCTCAGTGTTTGTCCGGTGTCTGTCTCCTGTCATTTGGCACCCCTCCCTCGGGGTCAGGATGCCCCTTCTGGGAGATAGACACACACCTGGGTGCATAGTGGCACCTCTGCCTTTGCTTCCCCATTTGCTCATGAGCAGTGAGACGCCTGAGCTTGGCCCTAGGATGGAGACCCGGGTGGAGTGGCTGATTCATCTCGGCTCTAGAGCTGGCCTGTCCCCAAGTCCTCTGCCCTATACGAGCTTGATGCGTCAGGGACCGCCCTGCTGTGCCCAGAATTCAGCCTGCCTACCTAGCTCAGCCCCGCCCGTCTATTTTAGCCCCGCCCTCCTAGCTCGGCCCCGCCTATCCATATTGGCTCCACCCACCTGTCTTGGCCCCGCCTATCCATGTTAGCCCCACCCACCTAGCTTGGCCCCGCCTATCCATGTTAGCCCCGCCCTCCTAGCTCGGCCCCGCCTATCCATGTTAGCCCCACCCACCTATCTTGGCCCCGCCTATCCATAGTAGCCCCACCTAGCTTGGCCCCGCCTATCAGTATTAGCTCCGCCCACCTAAGAATCCCTCCCACCCAGCTCAGCTCCGCCCATCCGTTTTAGGCCCACCCACCTAGCTCAGCTCTCCTATCCGTCTTAGGCCCGCCCACCTAAGTCCCGCCCATCCAGCTCAGCCCCACCCACAGTGCGTCCAAGCTCCACCTTCTGACCACGCCCTCCAGTCCCACCCACCCCCCCCCATTCGGTTTTACTTTCCGTGTCCTGGGAGGTCAGCAACCTCCTGGGGAAGGAAGGTCAGGTTAAGTCCCTTCTCCCTAAGGAACCAAATGGGAGGTCAGATGAAGGCCACGGTAGGATGAAGGCCAGTGGGCAGCGGGGGAGCTGGAGCAGATTACCAGCTCCCCCAAGGCCAGCAGGTGGGGACTGGTCAGAGGATCTCCCTGGTCCCGAAACGCGGGGTGGAGGGGTCACCCTCGGGCCCACGGGGTGCGAGGCACCAGCTTTATACAGACAGGGGAGGGCAACAAGGAGCACGTGGGTCCCACCGGCCACTGTAACCCCAGCCCCTGGTCCAGTGACTGACTCCCTGTGCCCTCCGACTGGGCAGCAGCCTGTGTCCACGGGGCGTGCTCGGGGCAGAGGGCACAGCCCGCCCTGCCCTGCCGAGACCTCAGCTCTGTCCTGCCTCCTTCTCCACCCTAACCCCGGCAGCCCGAGGCCCACGCCTTCCCTCTATCCCATCCCTCCCTCCACCAGCCCCCTGCAGCTCCATTAACCACCCTGCCACCAGCCAGCCGCTCCCCGCCCCTCCGCCCGCTAGCCGGGACCCCTGCAGCCGACCTGAGCGTAGACAGCAGCTTCTGGCCCCACGCAGACTCGCCACAGCCGGGGAAATGCGCGTGGTCTCTGTGCTCGGAGCAAGCTGGCCGGGCTGGGGCGGCCCCTCGGGCAGGGGGCAGGAGGCCAGGGAAGGCCTGAGAGAGCCAAGGTGGGCGGGCGCCAGCCCGGTGCAGAGTCCCTGAGGGACGAGGACGGCGCTGTAGGAGCCAGAGGGCGGTGGGGGCCGGCCTGGAGGCTGGGAGCGGAAAGAACAGAAACAAAGCGGGTTTGAGGCTGATGTGGGCTTGGTGGGGGCGGGGGGGGGTGCCGGGTGTGGGGTGGGGAGAGGGGGCGGGTTCGGGTTGTGGGGTGAGGTCAGGAAGGATAGAGCAGGGCGCGGGACATGGGCGGTGAAGGAGAACTGAGATCTGGCCGGTTCTCCTGGGCCGCAGAGGGGAGGGGCGCGGGTCCCCGCCCCAGGCGCCCCCTAACCTGCTTTCGCAGACATGGGGGGGGTCGAGGAAGGCTCAGCGCTCTGCCTCCTCCTCCTTCCAAACCCATTTTCTCTTAAAGATGGAGCGAGAAGGATGGCAATTTATGCCGCGTTCTGCCGTTGAATATCCACTATTCATAGCTCTGCGTTTTCAAGGCTTTCAAACCACGCCATCCAATTTTTATATATTTTTTAAATTGCCGGTTGGGAACACAGACGCAGGGTTAAGAGACTCCAAGCATGCCGGAGCGGGCCTGGCCCCGCGCGGCGCTCCGAGAGGGTCCCCCCAGCGCGTCGGGGTGGGCGTCCGGGAAGGCTGCGGTGCCCCCAGGCCTGTCCTCCCCGCCCCCCCCCCCCCCCCCCGCAACCCCCTGCTCACCGGGCCCACACTGACACCTTCTCAGACCCCGCCTTGTGGGCGGGGAGGCGGCCCCATGGCCCCCTGCAGTGTGCGGGCAGGTGGCTTGGCGCCGCTGAGGGTTCAGGGCTGAGCGTGGGGAGTAGGGACCTGGCCCCGAGACCCCCGACCCCCAGCCCTGTCCCTGATCCCGTGTCCACGGCTCCCTTCCCGGGCTTGGGGCCCAGAGCACCACAGAGGAAGAGGCTTCGCTTTCAGAGCCCAGGCTGGCTGTGTTTCGGGGTGCGGATGGGGCAGCCGGCTTTTGTTCCTTTTCTAATTGGAGGGCACAGAAGTTGCAGGGGGGGGCTGGAGCGATAGCATAGCGGGTAGGGCGTTTGCCTTGCACGTGGCTGACCCGGGTTCGATTCCCAGCATCCCATATGGTCCCCTGAACACCGCGCAGGTGTAATTCCTGAGTTCAGAGCCAGGAGTGACCCCCCTGTGCATTGCCAAATGTGACCCAAAAAGCAAAAAAAAAAAAAAAGAAATTGCAGTTGGGGGCTTGGCCAAAGACGCCCCCATTCCTGGTTCTTGCCCGCCCCCGGTACCCCCATGGGGGGTCTGTGGGCTGGAGCCCAGCTCCCACAGAGGCAGCAGGTTCCGGGGTCACACAGCCCACCCGCCACCCAGGATGCCCCCCCGTGGCACAGCTGGAGCCAGGAGCAGCCCCCTGCCCCCCCATGGATCTGAGGGTCCTTCCCCCCCCCCGCTGGCCCCCAGCCCTCGCCTCCCTCCACATTCTCAGCTCCACTGTCCGGCGGACCTGGCACCCCCTGAGCACAGGGACCTTCCCATGGGACCTCATCAGACCCCACCCCGAGGGCTGGGAGGGAGAGTTTTTCAACCCCGTGGCCTTTGCCCTTTGCCCCCACCCAAGACCCATGCGGCAGCACCCTGCTTCTTGCTGCAGGCTGCCGGCCCCGTCTCTGTCCACTCTCTCAGGCAGTTGGTGGCCAGTGTGTCCCTCAGCCCCACGCTCGTGTCCACCCACAGCCTTGTCCCTGGTCTGCACGGTCCCCCGCCCCCCGTCCCTCATGCACTGGACTCAGGACTCCAAAACAGGGCTGGAATGATAGGATGGGGGGGAGGGACACTGGCCTTGTGCAGCCCACCCCGGTTCAATCCCCGGCACCCTGTATGGTCCCCTGAGCCCCGCCAGGAGGGACCCCTGAGCACAGAGCCGGGCGTCGGCCCTGAGCACCACTGGGTGTGGCCTGTAAACCAACGTTTTTTAAAACGTGACCCCCCCATGGGGTGCTACCAAGGGCCTGTCGAGAGCCCCTGTCCTGGGCCGCCCCACCCCTTCTCCAGCTGCCCCCTGCCCCACGGTCCCAACGGTCCTCAGAGTGGACTCAGCACTGTGAGGGGCTTGTGGTGGGGTGGGGGGCCTGAGGCAAACCCCATCCCGTGTGCCCCGGAGGGCGGGTCAGGACCCCCTCAGAGGGAGAGCACGTGGGGAGATCCTGCCCGAAAGTGGCTGATGACAGAGGGCAGAGGTCATGGGCAGAGGTCACGGGCATTATGGCCAGGGGTGGGGGGGAAGCCTCCCCTTGGACATGGGACCCCCAGGTCCCAGTGGAGACAGAGGAGCTGACCCTGGCCTCCGGGATGAACGGGAAGGGCATGACCAGGACCTCCATCTGCTGGACACCCCACGCCATGCTGGCTGCCGCGAGACCCTGAGCCAGACCCCAACCTCTTTGAGACGGACAGAAGGACGGAGGGGGGGAGGAACGGAGGGA